AAAATTGAGAAAAATAGATGTAAAGTGTGGGATTCGAACCTGGATCAAATTTATACAAAAGAAGACACTAATCACATTCACACATGAGGTATTATGATTTAAACTTAGACATAAATATATATAATATATTATTATATAAATAATATATGTAATATATTGTTATATAAAAAGTTATATAATTTTTTTTTGAGTCATTTCGAGCCAAACACGAGCGAACAAACTATTGGTCGTGTTAGGCTTGTTTACATTTTGAGCTTAAAAATTTGTTCGTGTTCGACTCGTTAGGCTTAACGAATGAGCCGAACACGAGCTGCTTAACGAGCCGAACACGAGCTGTTCACGAACAACGAGCCAAATTGATAGCCCTAATTAATAGGTTGTTTGATAGTGCTTGCTTGATATAGCTCATTTAATTAATGGGAAGGCTTAAATAGTGTAGCTTGTTATTTTAAAATCAAACAATTGTGTTCTAGACAATTTTTTTTTTTTAGAAAAAGAAATTCTAGAAATCACCTTAAGGTCTTTTGATTTTGTGGTGCAATTAAGTTAAGGTTAATTGTGATATTGTTAAATTTTTCTCTTTAAATGACCCACTAGCCAAGCTCAATTAGCTAATAATCAAATTGGAGTAAGCTTCAATTCAATTCATCTACTCTTGCTTTATTTCATTTTAAAAATATTAATAAATATATTTAAAATTTGTTGCAATTTAAAACTTATGTAGAAAGATATTAAAATTTGTTTCAAATCTTCATTACTTTTTCTTCAATCTCCATTACTTTTTTTTTCCTATTAATTCTCTTTTTTTTAAATCATTTATTATAACTTTTTTTATTTGAAATTCTTTTCTCTTATAAATCAGGGGATTGACATGCATGAAACCAATTCTTATGTATTTATATATCAAACATTTAAATTGTGTGTTTTACATTTTTTATACGTCGTCATTTGGCATGAATCTTAAAATATTTTTTTAATAAGAAACATTCGAGCTTGATAAAAAATTATCGAGAAGTTCAATTTTAATAAACTTATAGTCAAACTGACTCGACAAGACGAACCTGTTAACACTACAATTAATTATTCAAGTCTAGATTGAACGGTTAAATCACATTTGGAAGTTTCAGGTGTTCAATTGGAAGGTCAATCGTATTCCAAATTTGACAAGCTTATAGTTAAATCGAACGTCTCGATGAGACGAATACAACAGCCTAATATCACTCAATTTGACATCATTAAGGCACTTGAAAGTCCAATGGAGTTGTTTGGTTTCCTTCATTATTTGCAGGGAGGATACTCCCATAATCTATAAATAGAGTCATGCCTCCATAAAAAGGCACAGAGGTTGAGAACAAAGGGAGAGTTGGACTGAGAGCAGTCGAATTCAATGTGGTTCTGGACTGAAGGCCCAACAAACACTTCTCGCTTTTGTAATTGCAGATCGTTGTAGACCACCGCTCTCCAATCATCGTCGAATAACATTGATCACTCCCCTACTTGTTGCAATGAATCCCCATAGAAAGTCACAATATATGCTATAGACTAACAAAACAATGTGTAAAGTAATGATACGAGGCAAATTTACGTAGTTTCATTAATTAAATACCATATTATCTAACATTATGCTTGAGAAAGGCATTTTTATTGCAAGTGCAAGATACATGGTTTTATCACTTAGGGAGGAAAAGAGGTAAAGTGAGGGACAAAATTGATGAAAATCAAGATTTCGAAGCAGCAGACCTACGTTTGCGTGCTCATGCTTGCACCCGCGAACACTCAAGCACGCAACTGCTCACCCGCATGGCTGTGCAGGTGTATGCACCCAAGTGCTCATGGTCACATTCTAGCACCCTTAGAGTGTGCTTGCCTCTTCATTTGAGCACCCTCGAGGATGTAAGTGTACCCGCGACAACTCCTGCGCTCACCCGCAACGTATTTGCGAGCCCGCACATGCATGTGGGTGCGCTCATGCCTTTGCCCTTGCCCTTGCCCTTACCCTTGCCCACATATTTCATAATTTGACGGATTGTGAGAGTTTTTATGCCTATTTTGGACCTCTAATGTAATATCTAAGTATATAAACTCATTTTTGTTATGATAGATGCACTTTTGGTCTTACGAGCTAAGCCTCTTGGGTTTTGGGTAGTCCTTGGAGTTGTAGGAGTTTCTTCCTCGGATTTGCTCAAAAGAGTTGTGTTTTTCCTATTTCTTCCTTTTTTTATACTTGTTCTGAGGGGTTTGATGACGTTGTAAGGAGAGATTGAGTGCATACGTATGGAAGAGATCTATGGATATTTGTATTAAAAGGAGAGGACCACGGTGTATTGCAAGGACTAATTGACTATGTATTGAGTTTTTTGTATTGCTTGCGTTGTTTCCTTTTTATTCCTGCAATAACAAAGTTCATGTTTTTGTTCCTCATGCATTGTAGTTAATTTTGTTTCACACTCTTGTGATGTAAGACATGTGCTTTTCTTTTGGTTTTCATTCTATGGATTTTTGGTTCCATCGACACCCTTTGATGCATGAATTTATAATATTGATGTGTTAATTTTTCGGTCGTAATTTACTTTTTATCGAACAAAATGAGAATGTTAAAATCTCATATAAACTATGTCTTCTGCCTGTTGTGAAGGTTAACCAAAAAAACTTGGGTAGAATAGGCATATTTTAGTTAGGGTTTTACAACCTAGATAGAGGATCAAAAGAATAATGGAAACCATCATAGGGTTAAGTAAAATTTAACTTTATAAACTTTTGATTCTTCTTCTAATCTAAGGCATAAGCTTAATGAAAAACTTTTTGTCCTTAATTAACAACAATAACGTGGGTTTCATAAGAAAATTTCAAGCAATCATCTGACCAGTATCACAAGAGTGAATTTTGCATCTAAAAAGCTCAATACTTTTTTCCTGTCTTTTTTGTTTACGGTACTTTTAGGACTGTTAGATTCTTTTATTGCATTTGATCAATTCAGATTAGACTTAATAGTTCAATAAATTAGAATTTTGTCTGTTAGAAATATTTTAACGCTATCTTCATAAAATCGATATATGAACTTGTTTATGTATATTACTTAATCAACACAAATACTTATGTGATTAATCAACTTGTCTCACAGGAATTTCGATCATCAAGTTTTTGGTGTCATTGTCAGGAATATTCGTCAAAATTTTCTTTACCTTAATAGAATTATAGTTGAGTCTTAGTTTGAGATTTCTGTTTTTTTTTTAATTTTTTTTTCTGCTTTTTTTTGTTCTTGTACTTAATTTTTAAAAATTTTGAAAAAAATATAATATAAATAAAAAAAATCAAAATCAAAATAAAAGATAATTTTTTTTTTGGGTTTAAAATAGGCTAATGTTTGGCTCTTCGATTTTTTTTTTTTTGTTCGAAATATGCACGGGACTCTGAATGGCATATTCATGTTCAATTATATTGAATTCATTTGTTTTTTTTAGCTCTTTTTTTTGCTCAAAATTAACTTAAACGATTTAAATAATAATAATTTTTTTCTAATTACAACTAAAAAATCAATATAAAATGTTATGATATTATTATTTATTTAATTATTTAACGTATGCAATCCAAAATAAGTCAAACATGATAGAATAAACATTTGTTCATATTTGATTTGTTTATAAATCGAATAAAAAAAATATTTTTGTTTGGCTTGTTTAATCATATTTGATTTGTTTATAAATCGAATAAAAAAAAATATTTGTGTTTGGCTTGTTTAGGGTTAACGAAAAAATTTAACATCAGTTACATAACAAGCCCAGCAGTTACAAGTAACAAACTTTTTTGACATCTCATTGTCATGAATTCAGCTAAACTATCACATGCCTCTATTACATTAATGATTGATAAAAGTGTAAACTTATCTTCAAGCCCTCGATTTCTCATTCGCTAATTGCCCATACATGTCCACTTCGTCCTACTCGAACGCCGACCACCCTTAACTAATTTTCTATAAAATAGCAATAATATTTTGACTGCATAAGGTCCTCTGAATTCCCCCATATGATTTTTCATGGTATAATCATCTACTCTATTATGTGTATGATGAGAAGCTCCAAAAATATCTCCACAAATTAACAAATGATTAGTGTATAAAGAATGGAAAAGGTTACATACATACCCCATAATTCTTATGTATTTACATATCTAAAACCTAGAAGCCCTTATGGTCTTGACCACTTTCGATGGGACTGAGAAAAAAACCTGCGTTCGGTAAAGACATGTGTCAGGCAGATGAGTGATGTTTGTAGCCTGCTATACTAGTTTTTTCCTAGTGGGTTGAGATGGATCTGACTCGGTCAATCAGTGACGTTGCCTATGTTCAATGTTCACGTACTCAGGCCCGTACTCAGGCCAATGTTCACCTCAGATGGAGTGGATTGAGAATTCTAAACTACTTGTGAAAAGATGCCTCTTATTTTCAAAAAAATAAGTAATAGTGATATTCTTGATGTAGCATTCAAGATTTGAAGAGTATGTACATAAAATATAAAAATGTACGTATTAGATGTGTAAATAGATAAAAATTGTGAGGTATATATGTAAATTCCCCTAAAAAATACCCACACACAAAGATTTAGAAAAAGAAAAAAACTTTACCAAATCCCTATAAATATATTGCAACTGATATTATTATGGCCACAGTGCCAACATATAAATATTTTTTAATATGATTTTAATGGACATCATTGAATCACTTGTGTGGCTCTCTCTCTCTCTCTCCTCAGCATACAAGCAATAAGAAAAAATAAAATAAAATAAATTAAGTCCATCTATGAAAAAGTAATAGCAAATCTTCCCTCCAAATGCATATTTTAATCATTAATTCATAACCTAATATAAAAAAAACTTCCAACTCTACTCTAAATTCTCATTTTAGAGAAAACAAAATGATTACGTGTGGATGATTTGTACATGCAGATGGATGTATTCGAGATGTACACACCTAATCCGCCGTGCATACGGATGATCACACGTAATATTTTCTCCAAATAGAGGGATTGAAAACTCATTAGTTGCCATTGAAGCTTAACAGAAGCCAGCAGTTGGCTCATAGACATAAAATAGAGGAAGGGCAATATATATATATCTATATATATATATATATATTGTTCTCTGTTTCTCAGGCGGCCGCCACCGTTTTGCCGGAGCCGGAGGGCTCAGAGTTCCCCGGAGCAGAGCCCTTCAGTGAGAGGAGGGAACTCTTCCTCCTCTCTTCCAGATTCATTAGCTGCTGACGGCATTCCAAGCTACAGAAAGCAATCTCACCCCTGAGGAAAGATGGCATAGGGAGAAAAGTTGAGATTTTTATGGTTTGAAGGAAATGATAGTGATGAGGAAATTGAGTTGAAGTGATAAAGTTTCAAGCTTTTGCAATAAAGGAGCATATGTGTAAATATCAAAATTTAGATGTTAGATGAGTAAATATGTAAGAATTGTGTGATGCCTATATAAATTTCCCTATTAATAAATAGGGATAATTGCATACAGAGCAACCAACACATTGATATTTATAAATCAAGCACTCATGTGACTTTTTTGATGCTTTTACACTGCCACAATCATACCATTGAGAATTTGATAAAAATAGAAAAATAATTAGAAGATTTACATATATACCACACAATTCCTATGAAGTTACATATCTAACAATAAACTAAACCTCAAATTTTCATCCTCACTACTCACTAGCAATAGTCCTCTAATCGCAAAATTAATCTTATAAAATAAGGATTAATGGATTATAATCCTACTTTCTATCATTAATCCGGTAACCAGAAAAAAAAAAGTTCTGATTAAGCAAAAGAAAAAACAGAACAAGAATCTCGATCTAAAAAGAAATAAAAAGATTTTCAACTTGAGAGAGATGAATAAGATTTCTACTCAATTACAGTTTTATAAATCCTGAAAAATCAGATTTAGCAAATTATGCGAGGAATAAAGCTTCGAAATTATTAAATTCTGATAATTATTCAATTATTTGTTCCAGATTTAGGATTTATAAGAAAAAAAAATCAATAAATCTTATAAATACAGAAATTTAACATATTCTGAAATTAAACTAAACTAAAATTAGCCAAAACAATGAAATTCGAAGTCCGCAAAGTTCTTTTTCAACAACTTAAGCTAAATCAGAACAAAATTGCATAACAAACATCCCTAAAACTATGAACAGATAAACCCTAATACAATCAACAACACGATCACGAAACCAGAGAGGAAAGAATGTATAAGAACCAGTTAGGGCAGAGAGGGAGCTGCTGAGAATACCTATACATGAAGATGTCGCGACCCAGATTGAGCCTGCGCTGACAGAGTGCACAAGATCTCAGAAACGGCGCCGTCTCAACCGCTGCAGAAATCGCAAAATCGGCGGAGTTGCTTCGCGGTACTAGAGGCGGAATCATCGCAGCGCAATTGCTGTTGCTCCGCCGACACTCCGCCGGAAAATCTCCGGGCCGCCGGAGCTGCTTCGCATCTAGATGTTGAAGCGGCTTATGCGGATCGATGATTATTTTGGCCTGAATATTTTGATCAGACGGCATCGGCGAGTCGTCGGCTAGCTCTAGATCGGCGGCGAACTCCTTCATACTGATTGTTCGACTCATCGAAGGTCGCGGCCTCTTGCCGAGCAACATTTCCGGCAGCTCTCTAGAGAGAGGGAGAGAGAGCGTGAGAGAGAAGGCGGTGAGGAAAGAAGATGGAGTTGGTGTAAGTGGGTTTTGCGAGTTGCTGCTTTTTTGGTCTTTAAGATGGTGAGGGGGAGGGGATCTAAGCCGTTGGTTTGAATTATATGACATCATTCTAAATGTGAGGAGCAAAGGGTAAAATGGACTATCTACTAAAGCTTAGTTCTTAAAATACTGATGATTGTCATCTGTTACTTGAGATTAGGATCGACCATCAAAGTTTGTTGTCGACCACAAAAAAGTCAGTCATTGACCACTAGTGGTCATGCCGATCATCATCTAGATGTTGAAGCGGCTTATGCGGATCGATGACTATTTTGGCCGGAATATTTTGATCGGACGGCATCGGCGAGTCGTCGGCTATCTCCCGGCCGGG